CTTGGCACGCATCACGTGACTACATTGTCAGAAAGTTTTTGGACCTGTCTTCAATACAAAAAGCTGCTGTGCGTGCTTGAAGGCAACGACAGCAGTCCGTAATAGCACTCAAATGATCTCTTGCCTCCCATTGAGCGATTCTGGTAGTTGTACGTAAAATTGACGACTCGCGTTTTTTTGCATTTGACCGTGGCATTTAACTTTCCTATTGTGGGGAAGCAGCGTGTCACTGATGGAAATGTTGCAGCCCCTGTCCAATGGACCACTGTGCAGAAAGGAAAGTTCCTTGCATAGATCCTGGGCCTGTGCTAATACCCAGCCGCAACCTGCATTGTGTGCTGCCCAGCCAGGTATCGTCGCATTGCTATTCCATCTCCACGCACGGAGTGCTCATCCAGGGCTGCCTGGCAGACCTGGGGTTCGTTTGTCTGATGAATAAAAAGAAGGTGCAGACGTGCACAGATGTGGACACTGGACCTGTGATCGGGCAGGCGTTTCCGACAGAGGTGAAGCTCGATCTTGTCCCCGGAAAGCTTCCTGACGGCAAACGTAAAATCGTCCAGCCGACCAAAATTTTAGGCCACCAGAGTCCGCATCAAACGGCCATCAAAAGAGCATGTCTCATCGCCATTGCTCTGCATTTGCGTGGAGCAGTTTCAAATATGAGAAATCGGTGTGAACACGTGAAGTGCCGCGAATATGAAAAGGCTTATGCGTGCGGATCACACTTGCTTGTTCTTTCTCCAGCCCTTTGTATTGGATCCTTGCCCTCGCGCACTGTAGCAGTTGCAAGAATACGTCGGGTGAAGCTGCATTTCTGCTGTTCGGCGCTTTGCACATCACGCTCGAGACGCGGACAAGTCCTGCAATGCCGACCATGCAACGCTCATGCAATTCGAGCCAGACTCCCTGCCGCTGGCGCCGCATTTGACCTGCCTTTCAGTGCGTGTGTTCGGTGTGCAGGAAGGCAGAGCCACAGTAACCCAGGCGTCAGTGTGTGGTACTAGTCGCTGCGTGACGGAGGGCTTCCTCGTGTCGGCGTTCGACAAAGTGCCCGTGGCTCTGTACAGCATGTTTGACGACGAAGGCAACGAGGACGTCACGGCAACCTACAATCTCACGGTTATATGAAGATCCGCGGGGCTGCGTGTACAGTCCCTGTGGCAGAAGTGACGCTGCATCGGCCACGCAGCAGCCCTTCAAGTTTGAAGATCTTATGCGCCGGAATGCTCGAATGGGCTCCTCAAATTATGGTTGGTCGCACTAAATAGGAAAACGGGCTGCTTGTTGCGCCGTCTCTGGAAATCTGGGTCGAATTGAGACGAGATTCGGTCGGAAACAATACACAGAACCACATTTTTAATCCTGTGCTTTTACTTTGGCGCTGTCATTTGTTCTTGTTGTACATTTCTTGGAGGGTGCGCGTTTTGTAACAAATAGGCGGGACGGCGAGTGTGAACTCGCCGTGCCCGCCATTGGCCAAGCAGCGACCAATGGAGGCTTTCGACGCAATGGTGCACCATTCGCACTCGCCTGAATGCGGCGCGCAATTATGCTTTGTCATCCAGCTCCCGGAGTAGACTGCATCTGTGGTCCGTGCCGTTTGCCATGTAACCCTCGCATTACAAAGCACCCCCAGCCAAATTTTGGGCACAGCGAGAGCGAGCTAACCCAATACATTGTACACGAGTGAGCTGCACAGGCCACCCGCCTTGTTTGTTGGTGGATACTCAGGACAATTGCGACGGTACGTGCGTGAGCCTGTGATGTGGGGGTATTTGCGCCGGATATAATAAGTGATCTCTCTGCGCTTCTGACTCTTGCACGATCTGTCAGGGCCGATACTTGTTTGCACGTAAAGGGTAGCGGGTTTGCAAATGGGAAGAATATCAACTCGTACTTTATGTCGTGGTGCACTTTGCCATCCTGCATGAATGAAACGGCGCATTGTTTCCACTAGAATGGAGTTGCCACCGAAGTATGAATTGCTCGTTTTGCCCAGCGATTCCTCATACTTACATTCACATTGCCGGACACAAGCAATTGTATTTCGTTGACAGGAAGCTGTGGTGCTGTGATTTCTGTTAACCACATGAAGTATCATGGGCAACTGAAGGGAAAGTACAAATATGTGCTTCTTCGGGTTGAATGCACAACAGCACTGGACGACACATCAGATTGCGTTGGGCTATTTGAATGGTATACAAACGTCCAGCTTCCTCTGGCATTTCCAAAATATTGTCTTTGTCTCTGTAGCTTACGAGCTACTTGCTTTCTAATACAATCACTTCCAGATACAACATCCCAGAATGGTAATGGCGACTCTGCCGCGGAAATTGCTAATATGACTGGAGGCTCGCGCCACGCCATTTCCACATTTGGCGTCCATCACAACATCCCTTCCCCGTGGGCGCATGCTCTTCGCCTCTCCTCGTCTGCTCCCTTCCATTTATCATCTGCCTCCACACCACCATTCCCAGTGTGCGAATCCTTGGATCCACTGCCCTAGCAAGGAATCAATGCGGCATAATGTGCCTTTTCCAATGCCGCACTGCCATTGCAGCAGCCGCAGTGCCTCGCAGTTTGCTCGCAAACGGGAACCTCTGTGGCTACCCAGAATGCTAGAAAAGTTTTCCACTAAATCCCGTCGCTGTTTCCAGCCAGCTTCTACCATTCCGGCACCTCACAATAACAGCGGCAGAACTATCTTCAGCACACTGATCCAGCGAGTTTTTCTCGCGTTTCGTATACCACATGCCCCCTCCTTCATTCTGGCGTCTTTTCTCTACCTGGATGCGCACTGCCTGTTGATCCGGCCGTCAATTTCGGGTTTCAAGGGCGAAAAGAATGTTATATACTCCTGGAGTGCGACCTCGAGAGGGGGACCCGTGGGAAATACATGGTCGGCCATTTTCAGTACTTTGTACATGTCGCCCCCCCTTGCCACGAAGTCGTTTGTGACCAAATGGAATTTCGGGCTCGACGCGTCACGCCTGCATTGGAGATGAATATTACGTAAGAAATCCAATGTTTCCAACCATTTTACCTCAATCGCAGCACTACTTATGTCCCTTTATTGATCTTCACTTTTACCTTTTTCGACGGGGGGGGGGGGGCACATGTTTTCCAATTTTACAAATCATTTAGTTGATAATTTGACATATCTTGAACAGATTTCATTGGCAATTCGATCACACCAATCGCATTCAAACGGTGTGAAAATTTGTTCCAGTCGCTGCCAATCGCGCACGTCGGCGCGGCAAAGTAGGCACCCTCGCTACGCAACGGTTTCTAGAAGAATTTTGCGCTTGAGTTGCAAGCGAAATACCAGTATGGAAGCACTTTGTTCGGACATCAAAGTATAGAACGGCATTTTTGCGATGCCAGCCAGCAGATCACAGCGCTGCGATGCCATTTGACAATATTCCGCACCGTCCCAGCTGCTTTTGCGCCATATCGGTCATTGTAATGGCGCCATTTATTGTCCAAATGACATCGCATTTGGCACCCTGCATTTGGCGTCTTTCCTGGCAAGCTTGGCCTTTACGTTTTACGGCAAAATTTTCGCGCTTACGGTTTTACGTGCAAAAATGCACAAACACGGGAAAGTTCATGTTTGCGTACGTATGTGGCACGTCGACACATTCTAGGTGATGAATTCACAAGCAATGATCAGTCCCCCATCCCCTCAAGTACCCACAGCACACCAGACACCTACTCCTCGACAAAGACAAGGAGGCCGTCAAACAAACACTAGCAAAACCAGGACCGAATAGCACGTTTTGCAAACGCATGTGAAATGCATTCTCATCAATATTCTTCACGCTCAGAGCACAAAAACAACCCGAAACCGTAAACTTTGTATACGTTTGAACGCGTCTTATTTGGCCCTTTTTCCCTGGTGAAACTGCCGTCCTCTGCCAAATACAGCGCACCTGGCTGCTACTTCCCGAACACCCTGAGTCTCGAACCACTGGATGAGTGTACACAGGGCCAAAACTTACATAGCACGTGTACACCTTTTACGCGCAAAAGCGTGAAATCTATATTACGTGCGAAATTTGCACCACTTGCACTGCAAATGCAAGGAAACAAAAAGCTGCTGGCAGCGAACATTGTATATACAGTTGACGACGAAACGCTTCTGCCTCCATAGTATGTGTGCTTTCCATGGATGGCACATGCCAGCCATTGCCCGACAAATGCAGAAGACATATTTTTATACCAGACAGCTTGGCAGTGCCGATTTCCAAAATTCTGATCTACTGATTGCTACTTCACCAGTAATTTCTTCACCCTATTATGAATATCCTCAGTTTTCTTGAGCGGATGTGCAAAGCAGCTCCTAGATGCTACTTTGCCCAGTCCTGGATGATCTGTTCAGAGGCACGGAAAAGGCAGCGCGCTGCGCGAAATGCGGGAGGGCGAAAACCACTGACCAGTCACACCATCACGGTGTGGGATCTAAACGATCTAGGCGATGTGCACAAAAATTATAGCAGTTCTCTTCAAGCGTCACAACAGTCGGAGAAATGACTCTTCATGCTGGCAGGCGGATGTTTTTTATCCCCCTGTCCTGCTGAAGGGGCTGCACAGTATCACGTACCGCACTGGGTTGAATTTCTCGCCATCGAATATCTCAACTCCGTAGACCTTGTCTCCGGGATCCGCCTCCGGGCAGAAAGAGAACCTCACCCCGGAAACTTGAGGGAACTCCCCTTTGCCCTCTCCCCATCGTCCAACACCTGCAGGGCAAGCGGCTGAGAATTCTGCCATCCCACGGCGGCCTCCGCTGCACGCTCGAGTCAACTCAGCAGTTCACATTTTTCGAATGTTTGCTGTTGCTTCGAGGCACCGACTGCTGCAGCGGTTCTGGGAGAGCGCCGCTGCAGCGCGCAGTTAACGTACATCAAAATCCGAGTCGCTTTGGCCATCGCGTCAGCTATGTGCAGTCCTGAACCTGAGCGCGTGCATGATGGGCGATGCAGCGGTATACTTGCCGTTCTCTAGGGCTTGGTACAGGTCCACCGGCGCCACCTTCACAATGGAGAGGACGTTTCCGAAAGGCAAGACGGTGAGCACGTCTTCAAACGTCACTTCGCCGCTGTCGATCGAAGCTCTGATGCCGCCGCTGTTGGTGAGGCAGGCATGCACATCGCCGTGACTCGCCTCGAATTCGGTGTGGCTTTTGATGTACCAGACCTACGTTCAAGGGAATTGCTTCCATTACTACAGTTTGAGGCGGAATCCACATCGCGCATTGAGTAGTTGTCGAAATTTCTTTATTTGCTTTAGCATTTCGTCCTCTCTTCCAGTTTCCAGAAATTGCGGGGAGAAAATGTCAAAACGAGTGCATTGTTTAAAATTCTAAGTGGATGCTGAAATTAGCATTGAGCGAACGGGCAACGCGTGGCTATGGGTATGTGGAACTAAGGATGGCTTGAATAGTGGTCTTTTCCCAATGCCAATTTTTATGTATTGGATCTGTAGTGTTCCAGAAAAAGATGCTCCCCAAACCAAGAATGTTGGGATAGGTGCTTCAAAAGCCGAAACTGCTACTAGCTGCGGTGGAAATCGTTAACACCACTCTATGAATTGTGAATCACACGGTATTGATATAAACATCAACATCAACGGTGCGAATTATGTCGTTGCACTCTATCGTTAACTACAAGTTATGAATTGCGATTCACATGGCATTAAATTAATGTCATTAGTGTCAACAGCAACACCGCTATTGCTGTTATTGCTGGTACCACAGCATTGTCGCTGACCATTTAGAGCAACAGGTGCTGAAAATTATAGCCATTGACAGAATTATCAGATGCAGGCTGAGTCAAAATGCGTCTTCCAAGCTCTTGGACGAGGACGACATGATGGATATGTCTTGCCTGCAGTGCCAATCTCAAATCGAGTGGACATGAATGCAGCATGTTACATGGCGCATTGCAAGTAGTATACCGCTAAGGATTCTCAGCGGAATATACGACTTGCACCGTAGGCACTCGCTTCAACGGTTTGTCGCATTGGTGCGAAATGGCCATCGGCGCCGTCGGGACATCGGCAGATTGGCGCTGATGGCAAGGCCATCTTGCCATTTGGCGCCAATCGCCAGCCGACGGTGATAATTGCTCCAAAGCTTTGCGTGTGTCTGACCGTTCCAAGCCCTCCGTGCCCACCCGACTGGGCAACCGGGGGGGGCGGGGGGGAGGGGCTTCCGAAGGGCCCCTTCTGCAACCGTCGGCATCTTTGAGCGCCGACCTCGTCTGACTCCCACCGAAGTGCTGACAGCCGACGGTGCTGACGCGTCAGAACTCTTTCGCTGACGTCGGCTGGTTTGTGGACCCTTCTCGCCTCAATCATACTGATGGGAATTTAACGAAATGTATTTCTTGCGGATGTCTACATTGTGTCATATAAATGTTCTCGCTTCAAGTAAGGACAGCGGAATCTCCATTTCCTGCAGTTTCCATTCCATCCCAACACGCGCCTAATTCGCTGAAAATCGGGCATTGGTGTGGACAATACCAGTGCACCGCATGACATGCGCCGTGCTCACCATCTCGAATTTGAACAGGCGCTTACTTTCGGCACCAGGGCCACAGTGAGCAATTTAAGCGACCCTCCCACTGCCATCAAAACAACACAACGGTAGCGCTCTGAATGTCATTGAAAAGAAAGAAAGGAGACAATTTTTTAATGTTTTATGAAATTTATTAAACATGCACATGAAACACATATGTACATGAAACACACATGTACATGAAACACAGAACATGTACATGACACATAGAACATGTAAGTGAAACATGAAACAAAAACATGTCCATGTACATGAAACACTGTGGACGACCTTACCATGGCGTCGCAAACCATGTTTCCCAGGTTCGTCTCCTCCGATCGGACGTCTTCCCTCTGCCCGTTCAGGAATTCCGCGGCTTCTCCCACGACAAGGTTTCGATACTTGTCCACCTCTGCGGCGTACACGCGAATGAGGCCCAGCATCTCTTCGTCGTCCGGGACATAGGCTGGCAGTGCGGGGTCGTCTCCCAGGATGATGGGGTATCCGGTGGCCGATAGGACGTTGCCGTTTCTCATGACGACCTGAGAGTGGAAATTTTCAACAGGATGAAGATCGCGAATGGGGCAATAAACTGCAAAGTTTGTTGAGAAACGTCGTCGTTTCTTTTGGCTTCGAGAAAATCCTGCGTATTCACTGATTGATTTTTCAGCATCCCGTTTTAGTGCCGTTAGACTATTTATTTGGTTAGTTTCCAGAGATTTCGTTGGTTCAGTTGCTGCTGGAATTTCACAGATGTTTAACGTCTGTGGAGCTCTAGCAGCAGCGAAAACACCCACACCCCGGATGACAAAGTCGGCTGTCGTTTGCGAGCGGGAATATGCGGTTGCACATGTTTGGGCTCGCGACCACTCTTTTCTGATCAGTTTGACCCCTCGTCGGGGGAGCTATGTTTTAAGCAATTTTTAATTTCAGCAAGCATTCATCTGAGACTGCAACGGGCCCCACAGCACTGCCCACACCTCATCCGTGAGGCATATCATAACTACGGTGTTCTGCTACAAAATTAGGGAGCCGTTTGTCGTGTGTCTTCCAGGGGAAACCTCATTGTTTTTTGTTGTTTTTTCTGGGTTGACGTCACAGTCTGTTTCGATTTTCAGTTTAGGGAAGAACAGCCTATCTCTTGGATCAATGCTGCACACCCACATTGGAACCTGCAAATTGATAACGATGTTGTCGCCAATTTCTTTCATGGAACGCATGTGTGCCATTTGCGTAAATGGCATTGAAATGAACCATTCCAGTGCTAACCTCGTAAGAACGTTGCATATTCTGGATATGGAATAGGACATGGAGGGGCCTCATATCCACGATATCAAATATGATATGGGAGCCCATATCCAGGGATACGGCCACATACTCGATACGTATGTCCAGGATACGCAGCATTTTCCGACGAACGTTCGTACGCCAAAGAAATGATCACATGCCTCCACCCCACCTCCAGGTATCCCACAACCTTGGACGCCCAGAAAGCCTGCACAATGGCCACCTTGTTTCCGTCTTTGTCCACAGCAATTTTGGGATACGATTCCTCGTTCATGAAAGTGTGGGAATGTGCCCCAACAACGACGTCGATCCCCGAGAGCAACTTAACCAGGGTTTTGTCCTCATTGAACCCCATGTGGCTCAATCCAATGACTGTCGTCACGCCCTCTGCCTGCACAAGCCACTGCTTGTCATGTTCTGGCGAACATACCGAAACCGATTACACTTATGTGCCCACGCTGGAGCCAGATGAAGATATTAGCGCATTTAGAGGCCTGCTTGGTGTAATTTATACAGATGGGTAAATTACCTAAGGTGGAAGTGACGTTCTGACTTTTTGAATCATTTCATGCACGCTATTTGCGCATGTTTTGTGCATGAATTCGATAGACATAAATCGTTGGTTACGCAAAAGCACATTTTCCACGTTTGCAGGCCCGTTTTAAGCGCTCGCAATCAATTCATGTCGAAGTCAATTCAACGTGCCAGATTAGTTTTAGAAGAATTGGAATTCCCAATTAAGAAATATGACTGCAGCAACGGCAATTTTTGCATTGAGATATAAGGAACAAAATGCATGGAAATGTATGGAAACAGAAACCTTTTCTGGAATTCTGCGGGCACCGTTGATACGCGAGTCCCACTGTATGTTTTACAGCGCAGAAAACGCGTACCATTAATGTGGTAATTGCGTAAACGCAACATGAGTAATCGAGGTGCAATTTCATATAACACTTGTCTCGGACCGAAATGCCGCCCTTGTGCATGGGACACGCTGGAGGCGTGAGTGCACTTGTGGCAAAACGGCCGATGTAAAACACCCAACTCACCCTTGAAAATCGAAGATAGATCATTTCAATCATTGAAGAGAATTACAACGCAGGAGGAGAAGTATTACGTGCATGTTTCTAAATACGCAAATATACGAATTCAGATGAAATTGTGAATTATATCAATTCTGATGAAATTGCGCGTTGTCTCCCGCTGAATTTTAGCGAAGCGCACGTATTTATAGCGTACATGCGTGCTTTTGAGTACCAGATAGCGCCTCGTTTGCCAAAATACTTAAATGCCTGTATCAGGTATGTACACAATAATTGAGATCCAAGTCCCTGGAAATGAATCATTTATTACGGCGTTTCGACCTTCAATTTGTCAATCTCCTCCTGAACAATGGCCGCAACGTCCTCGCCGATCTCAATATTGTCTCCAGGGGAGGACATGAAGGCGGCGTCGGGGGTAGTAAATCCCACAATGCCGACGACAGTTCCTGAGCGCAATCGACGCCCTTTCAGAAATTTTGGTGCAAGAGGCACCCGGGAACCAAAATTTACAAATAGGTGATACAGTATTGGGGGGCTGATTTTTCGCATTGCTCTTCCGTAAAATTACGCTGCGATCGTTGTGATCATTTCCTAAACACTGGGAGGTCCCGAGCCCGCGAGGCTGGCATCGTGGTCCCGGGCCCAGTTAGCATTAACACATTGACACAGCTTCAACCGTGTACCCTCAAACAACTGTGTAGACTACACGATTTCCTAGGATGCATGGTTAAAACTGTGTCAATGTGTGTACTAACTGTGTACTTTTGGGACCACATATGCCGAAAGCACACAGTTGGATTTTGAGCAGACCGTGTCAGGACTGTGTCATCTGGCCTGTTTTTTACTAGTGAAAGCAGAATTTCTATGCCAAAGGTCCCATCCATCAACGGCCCGGCAGTGCAATCAACGGAGCACTTGCCGACTAACATGTTAAGCTCCCTCTCCAGCCACCACCTGCAAATCCACCCGTTCGTGACCATGCGCCGACGTTTGAGGAAAAGAACGTTTGAGTTTGAGCCAAGTGTGCATAAGTTATCAAAATCATTGCATATCACCACTGTGCTGTCACCCTATTGGCAATTAACCTGCTTGAATATTACCCCGTCTATTGCACACGTGTTTTGGGTACTTCATACATGAATGAATGATCGCATTCAATGAAACATTCGCGTGAACGTGCAGGTAGCCTCGCGTAAAGCAGCTGCTCGAGTTGGCGTCCTGAAGGATCGTACCGTCGACCTCCACCGTAGTCGACGGCGATATTTTTCCGCTGATCTCAAATTCTCTGGACGCATCGATGTTGGCAGATAGCACAGGGAAGTGAAGCCTGTCCAAGTACTCCCCCAGCACATCCGGGCCGTAGTCGAATTCGTGATTTCCGATGACCTGCTTGACACCACAAAGCGCACTTTGCGTCCCGCAGCAATGGCTGAATCGGCTTGAATCAGTGATGCCATCGCCTGCGTGTAGTCTTCACAGATTCATGCACAGCGGCGCGGCAGCGTGCAAAATCTGATCAGATAGCAACCCCTCACAGGATGCTGTTGCGCGGATCAGCTCAGGCGGCGCTGGTAGTTGCCTTTGGCGGAAGACGTTCGGCTGTCCTTCAAGTGCGCTAAATATGCGTGAAAACGCTTCCGAATACGTTCAGAAAACTGATATTGCCATAACCGGGAATGTGAGCATATTGACAAAGGCATTTTCCATGGCAGAACATCAACTTGAATAGACACAGCGTGCCCACACCAATGTGATATACTAAATGCTCAGTTAAGACAAGGGGTCCGGAATACAAGAGTAAAGACATACTTTTCTTCAACAAGGCGTAACATGCGAATATTCTCTCCAGCACAAAGACACCTCACCATAGCGTCTATTCCCAGCTCATTTTGGAAAGCTGCCGCGGCCTCCCCCTTGTACACGGTGTTCCACACAGTCCCTGTTGGCAACACTCACCCTCAATGTCTCCATCCTAGCCACGCAACCACGTGCGCTGGAAATGGGTGCCGTTTCCCAGAAGTGTTTGCAGCACCGTAGTATATTGAACCCTTCCGCGTCATGACACTTTACCGTTGCGCTTTTTGCTCCGCATTTTTCCAGAGCGTTGTTTTTGTTTATTTTTTTACTTTGCTCCGCAAAAACTTTGTTGAAAGAGTGTATTTATTTATTGTTTTCTCCGTAAGAAAGGCCAAGCGTTACGCTGCTATGCGGAAGGCTTGCGCATATACTACGGTTTGCCCACGGCTTCAAGCTCGCGGAAAATTCGGCGCATAGGATCGCGATCTGGTGTCAGCCTCGCACCATGGCTATGAACTGGATTGGTTGCGCCTCCAGGCAGCACAGGCAGCACAGCTTGTTCGCCACACATTCAAAACGTGTTTCACGTGGCGCGTGTGCCACATATGCGTCACAGTGGCCATTTGTACCACAAAGCATGCAGTTTGCCGGTTGCCGTTTGTTCCGCGGAACCCTCGAGCTCGAACATTCAGGCACGCGCAGGCGACCAGCGTGGAGGGTTGCCGTTTGTTCCGCGGAACCCTCGAGCTCGAACATTCAGGCACGCGCAGGCGACCAGCGTGGAGGCTTCCATCCGGAAATTTGGTTGCCGTTGGTGCTATATTGACAGCCCCTCGCATCAGACCCGCATCAACGCTGCATCAGCGCCTACCGAATTTCAGGATGTGTCCGACACCCATCACTTCTGGATGCGAAGGCCACGCAGGGGTCTCGCATGTCACGGACGGCACGAAGGGCTTACAAACCTAGAATTTGAAACACATGAATGAGGCGCTAAAGCTCCGAAAGCGGAAGTTGGTCATCACGGCTGTCATGTCTGGCGAAGGAGAGCATCAGACGTTGTTGTCAACCTGCATGTGATGTATTGCGGCTGCGCAGTGTTCGGATTCATTGGGGCGGTCGCTGCCGGCGTGGGTTGCTCAACGTATGGCTCGGGGAAGAAATGTTCAACTATCTACCATAAAGTACTGAGCCTTGTGCCATACTTTCCAGCGGTAGTGCTCTCACCCATGAACTCGTCTCCGGCATCCAGGACGATGACGCTCCCCTTTGCCCTCTCCCGCTTCACGACCGTGGCGAGTTTGGCAAACCCGCCGAAGCACAGCCCCTCTGCCCTCTGGCTCTCTTTGCATGGCCCCTGGTACTTGCTGGATGGCTCGACACGGCTGTGCACGTCGTTGAAGTGCAGTATGCGGAAGGACGTGTCTCCCAACGCGGCGCGGAGGGAGAAGAAGACGACCATCCACCGGAGCGCCACCGGAGCAGCGGCGCGCAGGGGCATTCCAATCTGCGCCATTGCGGGGGGGCCCTGCATCGTCGCGGTCGCGAAGCTTGGTGACAAGTTTCTGTCCGCGGAAGCGTCCGCCTGGGTTGCTCATGAGAATGGCGCTAGCGGCGCGGCCAGCGTTGCAGCGCTCCGCCCTGTCTGGACACCTTTTTCGTTGAGAGCATCATAATTCATGCAATTGTAAGCAGTTCGCGACTGCGGAAGCGCGGGCACAGACGGTGTTAACGGAATTCTATTGGAGGCACATGTTGGCGCCACAGGTTGGAAGCCGCCCTGAGAGCACGGCCAGGAACACTCTTACGGGAAAAATGGGCATAAGGCTTTCAAAAAGTTGTGTAGACATAGCAAACATTCCCCACAATACTACATGGGCATCCAAAATGCTAATTACTAGAGGTTTTGAGATATGACATAGGTATAGCAAACGAGAAAGTGGCCTAAAAAATTAACTTAAGAGAGATGGGCATACAAAGATGAAAAATGCCTTATACCCATTTTTGCTATGGTAATGTTCAGGATGCTCATCTCCGCGAGGATATTTTCAGGCAATTTGTAAAACACCAGCTTCCGGTCATGAAGAATGCCCTTGACGGTGAGTCTATGATCCTGTCATCAGATAGTTCCGGGGCAGTAGGAGTACAGTCAAGGCACCTGTGGGCAGAGCCACAGGTGCTGGCCGCACCCTGAGGATTGCTCATCGCATCAGAACAGCGCAACCGTGATGGGTGGCTAGGCAACGATATAGAGTCCCCGGAACCGAGGCGCCACCCAGCTGTAACACTGGCACCTCACAGCGGGAATGGCTTGCAGAGCATTCGCTCCTCTTTTGGTCCATGAGAGCTCGCAGCTGCGCCTGTAGGCTTGATTGAACTACTCATGTGCCTATCCAACACTCCGAAAACACGCATGGAACGGCAGCGTTTCAAGCCGGGTTGCCTGTGGCACCGTGGACACAGCAACGGCCTTGGGGCGTCAGGGAAGTGCGTGACGGTTCCGCCGGCTGGAGCGAAGCTTCTTGAACTGAACATGTGCGCGTCTTCGAGCTTGTTTGCCGTTTTTGTCTTTCCCACACGTGAGACGCGTGGCCGGAGAGGAAACGAGCGCGTGACGAGCAGCAAACGTTGCGCGTTTTGTGGATGTGCACGCCCCCGCCGTCTCGTGCAAGGCGGCAGGGCCGGTTTGCCTTCTCATGAGCATTTCGATCCAAGGGGCTTCGGAGAGCGTCCCAGAGCGTCATCACCATCATCGTCATTTTGCACAACAAGGCAATGAGGCAGCCGTCAGCCACACGGCCAAGCTGTCGGCCCCGGAACGACGGCTTGGCGGTGTGCGGCCCAGCGAACACATTTCAACCAATGACGCCGCGATTGAGGTCCCCGGGAAATCCACGCCAGCACGAAAGGGACCTGCGAAGCTGTGCATATGCGGCAGCCACAGGCCTGCTGACCGTTGACTGCCGGTCTGGCTCCATCTGAAAGCCGCACTTGATGCGCTCGCGCCCCCCGTGCAGCCTCGCGCGCCTCCTTGCCCAGGAGGCGCCTCCGGCCCCCCTCGCAGCTGCAGGACCTTTTGGCGGGCTGGGTGAGTCCCGCCCTGGCGCGCTGCCCTGCACCGCCGTGAGTTTCGAAGCCGCGGGGGGCGACATGACTTGTCAGAAACTTGACTCACAAACCGCTCAGCGATTACGCGGGGGCCGACCAAACCCCGTGCGGCATGCGTGCTGGGGGGGAGGGGCCGCCCTGCCTGGCGGGACCCCGGTCACGCCGCAAAGCGGTCGCTTTCTCGTGTGCTTTATCGTGCGTGTGGAACAGATTCGTTCGAATACATATTTATAGCATGTTGCACGGAAGCTAAGGATTGCAGGATTGCAGTGAACCGCCGCCGGCACATGGAGACTGGGGCGGTGGCCAACCTGCCCGCAAGGAAGTTTCCTGCTCATTGGGTGGGAGCGGCTGCGGGGTGTCGGTTCGCAGCACACGCTCTGCGGCGAAAATTGCGTGGTCAGTAATCAATGCCATCGTGGCGGTGCAGTCACACAACAACACGGGTCCCCATTCCGCAGCGCCAGGCCTGGGGCCGGGACAGCCACACGGACACACACTGGTGACGTAACTCTTTCTTGCACACAAGAGCCATGACGTTATCCAAACCCAGCCCAAGACAACGAACAGTCCTGTCCCTCGGTCCGCTACCCCTGCCAGAGAACCCGGCCCCATCGCCACACCCCCTTCCTTCGTGCTCGGGCCCTTGGGTGACTTAAATATGAATCAAGTCATGTTTGACTCGTTTATGCGAATGGTGGCCTCCACCACATCGACGGTCCCCACGTCCGGTCAACATGCCCGAGCGTCACGGCCTGGGCGCTTGCCCGTCCGTTTTGTTCTCCAGGTTATTTACACCACGCATCTATTTGTACACGCGACCGAAATGGGAAAAATAAATGGCGACTCTTGCCCCGCACCCACAAAAACTGTCGAGTCGATACAGGACACAAGGCACGTGCGATTCCAAGCACAACTGCAACGCTCCCGCCCTGTGCAGCAAAACCCGCCGCACTCACTGGCCCCCTCTCTGGCCGCCGCCAGGCCAACACGCCACGGCGGCTGCTCATCTGGAAAAGAATGCACTCCCATGCCCAAGTGTCTCTACCTATCTAGAGCCAGCACCGCACGCAAGGCGCCAAGGCGCAGCTGACACAACACACCGAGATAAAAGAAGCAGACCTTCATCTCCCTCCTACCGTACGTTCGCCCAGGCCTTGTACTTAATTAACTCTCAGAAAGAAAGGGCGGCAACGGCGCTGGACCTTTCAGACCCTGCGTAAATGGGTTTCATGTTGGGGTGGTTGAACTTGCACGCACCCCCAAACTTGCACTCATGAGTCTGCTTGTAATGCTCGCACACCTGCTGCCCAGGCCTCATAGGCAGGCCGTCCTCATTCAACTTCACCGCATATTCCTGGGGGTGGTCGAAGCGGCAGCGGTCATGGTACTTGCAGAAGCCAGTCTTCACGTAAAAGTCGCACACCTGCTGGCCCGGCCTGTGGGGAAAGGTCAGCACGGTGCTGGTGTCGTTTCCAGGGTCCTCCTCCCAGCCCACAACAGGCAGGTCCGGCCGCAGCGGGTTGGATGACTTGGGCTTCACCGGGCTCTGCAGCTCCTTGTAGTCCTTGGTCGTGCGGGACCCAGGGGACCCAATGCTCAGCTCCCCACTGTCCATCAGGCTCGTTGACCTCTCCATCCCTCCGCCAGATGTCCACTTGGGGTCGCTCTTCGTCTTCACCCCATTCAAGCCCCTGCCTGTCAGCCTGGCACTCACCGGCGATGTTGGACCTGAGGGCGGATCTGCAGCCTCACTCAGGGGGCCCTTCTTGGGCCCCTCCTTTGGTGATAGTTGGTCCAGGTTGATGATGTTCAACACATCGTCCCACCGGGTCCCCGTTCCGCTCTTCAGAGGGCCGACCTTTGGTGACAGCAGCCCAGACGACGTCCTTCGGTCGCCAGCGATGCTGATCGTACGCTTCGTGTCAAGGCCCAGAGTGAGGCCCCCAGCGCCTTTTCTTGAAGCATCGCCTTGAGGAGGCGACATGCCACCCTCAGACCTGCCGCGGTCATCTGCTGTACCTGGTGGGCCCCTAAACTGGGGAATCCCAAGGCCAGGTGGCAGAGGACCCGATCTGCTGCGGCCCTCTTCGGCTATGCTGATGGGTGGCATGGCATGGGAGCCCCCGATGGAGGGCGGCAGCAGCACAGACTTGCTACGCCCGTCCTCAGCCAGGCTGATGGTGCTCCGCGGTGGCGAGCCCCCAAAGGAGGGCGGCAGCAAGCCTGACCTGCTGCGACCTTGGTCGAACAGGCTGATATTCCTTGTAGAAGGGAGGCCCAGGCCAGGAGGCAGGGGGCCCGACCTGCTCCTGCCGTCCTCGGCCAGGCTGATCGCGGGCCTCGGCTGCGGCCTTGGCCTCTCTGGCCGCAGGGATATTTCGCTCGCTGCAGCGTCAGCTCCCCCAACTTCAGGCTGCTTTGCGGGCGGTGGTTTCAGCCCAGGAGGCGACACCCTGCCATTTGCGCCAGACCCACTCCCAGAAGCCCAAGCCTTGAAGCCAGAATCACTGCTGCCACCCTGCGGCGCCTCCCTGCTCTCATTGGCCAGTGCAAACATGGACGTCTGGCTGACTGGCGGGCTGATTGGGGCGCTTGCTCCGGGGCCTGCAGGGCTGGAGCCAGCCCCGTTCTGCGTGGGGGTCTTGGCGCAGCGCAGCTCCTCAGGGAAGTACTTGTCCAGTGGGGCGTCTTGGGAGCAGTGCGCCAGGGCAAAGGCGTATGTGGCGTTCAAGAGCTCCGGGAAACGCGATGTGAAGTACCTACACGCGCAAAGAGGTGCATCAGCCCCTCCAGAAGGATAACCATCATAGGCGCAGCCATGAGCAACACATGAGAAGGGCAACAGCGATCCAATGCATGTGTCAGGTCAGGCAGGCTTGGATGTGTACCATCGCGCAATTGAAGTCCATGACTAGTCTGACATACATGACATGAAAAGGAGTCAAACATGAAATAGCAATATTTAGCAGGAAAGTGATAACAGCAGACCTTACTGTGCCCGGTCGGTTGAATTGCCAATCCACTGTATTTCAATAGCCATTCCACGCATTCAAACAGGGATGCAATGCTGTGCTTTGCAAATGAACACCATTTTCGACATCATGTTCAGCCTTCAGCCATACAAGCAAGGAAGGAGCAGTGAACGTGCACCAGTCTTGATCTGTGGTCGCAGCCAAGCAGAAACCCACCCCAAGAAACCTTCTGGAATTGGTCCCAACAGCTCCTTGAGGTCCTCTGACATCTCCCGAAAGTGATTGTGCTTGTTCCTGATGACCCTGAGGAGGTCTCGCAGGCTGGTGTAGGTGTATTTGCGATACTGTCCCAGGTTGGAGATAAGTTTAGGGTCGATACGCGCCCCCCAGTTGCCGCCAGTAGCATCTTTCACATAGCTCTCCAGCAGGCGCAGCAGGCTCTTATCCTCTGCGCGGTCTTCATTTTCGATCCTAAATCAGGTGGGCACACTTTCTTGGTAAAATTGCCCATCGAATCTGTGATGGCAAAATTGATCAGCACTGATGGCACAGTTGACATCCTTTTCCACAGCCCAGCCCAGCATTTCGTGGTGCTGAGCTGATTCAGCACATTAGTACCACTGAAGGGCTGTGAATGAACTCCTGCCCTATGTTCCAAAATAACACCACAGGGTTGGGGGTTCCCTCCTAGTAGAAGAAAGCATGTTATCCTCATCAAATGGTGAGTCGAGAGAACAAAAGACAAGCAAAAATCTAGCATTCCCTTGCCGAGGTACTCATCCAGAAAAGCAAACCCAATGGGAGCATGGCACACACATGGTGGCCTGCTGATTTATTCAACAAGGGAACTGCAAGTCTGGTGGGAGATAAGCAAAGGATCAAGTGCAAATTCTGCAACAGAAATAACCATGCTTGGGGCTGCTGTGGTGTCAGCATACCCTCCACACTCCCGGCAACTGCCTGTGGTGCCGGACATTTTCTGCGCGGGTATCATGGTCCTTGGGTGCAGATAGAGATCCAGACATTGTTCCCGTGCGTGTACAAGCAGTGCTTGTTTCACTGTGCCGTAGACACAGTGACTAACTCGTTGAACAATCAAGAAATCGCACTGACTTTGCACAGTTGCTTCGCTCACGTCGCAGCTGTTCCATTGATTGAAGCACTGCACTCCAGGCCAAATGCTCTCTACGCGTTGTGATTGATCACCACTCCAGTGCCGGGCAACCCATCCATGGTACCCCACCTGTCGCTGAGGTCAACCAAGAACTGCAGCTGCTTCCGCTTGGTCCACCAGAAGGGGTGCGCCAGCACTGTCTTCATGTTGGGCCGCTTAGAAGGCTCCCTCTCAAGCATCCCTGAGATCAGGTGCTTTGCCAGGGGCAGCTTGTCAAGGCCGCTCAGGTCTGGGTCGCCCTTGAGGATCAGGGGGTCACGTCCACAGCTCTGGCTGCCAAAGGGGTGACCCCCAGCTGTCAGGCAGTAGTGGATGACGCACCCCAGGGAGAAGACGTCCATCGACTTGGTCTGACGAGAGGGGATGCCATCCTTGATCATGAGCTGCTCGGGCGCCTGCCAGCCTGAGCTTCCACCTGGGGCACACCGAAAAATGAACTTACTGAAAGAAAGGGAAAACAAGTCACACAAGTGGGGAATCCACTCCTGGGCAAGTGCTCCTGTGAGTTTCTTCTCCTGTGAGGGATCAGAATCCCTAAAAAGCTGTTTTTTGACTTCACAGTCGAGCAATAGATGATGTGACAGCAGAAGATGTGGAAGCACTGCAGGGGTACGCAAAGCACTCCACAAAGAGCAGATGAGTGCACCTGTACAAATGGGCTTTCCACAGAACAATGTACAGTTAACAGCGTCACAGAGGACGCTCAGTGAAATGTGCTGCCATATTCTATTGGCACAACGTCCAGTTTGGCTTTTACGACAACAGAAGATGGACTGAATGCAGCACCAGCAGTAGCTATGCACAAGAATTATTCAGTGCCATTTGGAAGTGAACATTTCAAACGTTGCCATTCAGTGTCCGACACAATTCGTGTGAATCGCTGAACACACACCATCCACAGAAGATGACACAACATCGGTATATAAACATTTAAACAAAGAGATCACAGGCAGTTGGTCCATTCAGCAGAGGCGACTGCGTATTGTTCGCGAAGTTACAGGGTTCTTGGATGCTTTGTGACGGATCGGCAGGGAGGCCTTGGATGTTGCTTTCAACTGGGACAGCATGTGTCATATAGTGGGGTGCAATTGGGGCCAATTCACAATCCTTGGGTGTGGCTGTGCAAAATGCTGAACTCTGATCTTCTGTTGCACAAAGCCCACGAGCAAACATGGGACGAAACAAGTCCCACCATCAGCAAACCAATGCAAGGAATCCATTACACACATGGGTTTTTCCGAAAACTTTCCTGGAATAAGTCGCTGAATTCACTTGCCATTCCCCACTTACCACAAGGGCACAACCACACCAGCACCCATAGACAATAAAGTTCTTCCTGAGGTAGCACAGAATCACAGCAACACATCACTGCAATACAGTATAAAAAATATGAATGCCCATCATAACGACATTGACAACAAATGCACATTCCCCACAAAGCACTTCAGGCGCTCCCTGCTCACCAGAGCCAGCACTGAGGAAGGAGCTCTGATCTTTCACCAGTCTCCGACCCAGTCCCATGTCAGACAGCTTGGCCCTGCCTTCCTTGATCAACACGTTGTGCGGCTTGATGTCCCGATGAACAATCCCGCGCGCGTGCAAGAAAGCCAGCCCACAGGCAATATCGTTCACAAGCTTCAAGCAGTACTCAGTCGGCATGCCATTCTTGGTATGCAGCAACTCTGCACCTTCTGCAAGAAAGCACACAGCTCCTGTCAACATACATGCCAGGTAGAACAAGGCAGTTCATAGCATAGCACTCAAATGGCAGCTGATCCACAAGGGTTGTTGTCATCGTCACAGCTCTGTAGTGCAAAATGAGCGACACAATTTATGATATAGCTGACAACAAAGCGTTTGGACTGCCGACTCCAACAGCAGCTGCATGTTTCCAACTGGCAGCGCAACTGCATGTCTTCCTGATACAGCACGACCTCCAAGAGCAGTCCACCTGCCCCGTGCTATGAACCAATCGTGCGCACGCACAATTTTGAGCACACAACCTTTTCTTGCCTGCCGTTCGCGTGTGGCAGCCGTGCTTCCGTTCTGCTGTCAATACCCTGTTCTCACAGCCCAGACACTTGCCACCCACCTTTTGAGCTCACAGAGGTGGACAAATTCATCTGACACTTCTCAAGAGCAAGGTAGACGAACTCATCGTCTGACTCCATCGCAAAGAGGCGCACCAAGTTCGGGTGCTCGTCAGACAAAATGAGGATGTCCTTCTCGTTCGCAGCTATGTCTGCGAACTCCTTCAACACCCTCTTCACTGCAACAGGCCGTCCAAGGAAGGTGCCCTCATAGACAACTGTGCCTACACAAACATAGTGTTCAAATAACCTGTCAGCCAACAGCATCAGCTTTGGGCCTACTGGACAAAGGGCAACCGGAAGGACATCTTCTGTGGGGGCTTCTAGCTGTTGGGGTGTGGACAAGCACGCAATCTTATTAATGAAACAGGGGTGCAGACAAACATCATTCTGAACAGCATGTGGCTTGTTGAGTCCACAGTGTTGGTGGCATCCGACCTTCTACCGTTGTGTTCCAATGTATTACATCACATACAAAACATGCGGTGGAACTCTTGTTGAAGAGTCAAGTTATAGGAATCTTTGCTGATGGACGCACTACAAAGATTGACAATCGAGCAACACCTTAAATTGAAACAGCGACTGCAGCACTGTCTCTACATCACCTTGTGGTCAACTTAGCAATCATTGGTAGAACTGCGATCGTAAGCACTGGCAGCACTGTTCATGCTGCTCCTTAGTACCACAGCACTGCTGTGATATTAGCCATGTTTATGTTAAGATGATGTTAGTGCCACACGAATGCTGTGGCGTAGTGGCCAGGTGGAAATGAAAGGACAATGTGATATGACCAGCGTTCCAGAGAGTAAGCCTGAAATCGCCTTTGGGGTGCAAGGGCAGTGTTTTGTCAAAGTTCTTTTCAATAGCAGCAACGGCTTCAAGTGGCTTTGCGCCGCAAAGGTTAATTGACAACGCAATGCCTTTGCACTTTGAATCTGGCAGTCTGTTCCCGTGGGCTTTCACCTTGGAGGACACTATGGACATCAAAACAAGCCTGGCTGCCAGGGTTCACACAAAGCAGGCCAAGCAACAATAGCAACAGCAGCACAGGTACGCTGCCATTTTCTGCCCCAATCGAGTGATGTGAAGCAAGCACACCATGCTCTATTGAACAAAAGCAACACATTGAATTCAGACGCGATTACGCTCATGTTTCCGCAGATTTGCCAGGAATGGTGGCACAACCGTATCTGCAGATGTACAACATGAGCGAACAGAGCAAGCATCATTATGTACATGAGCCACAAGTAACACCCATCAAATTTACAAACCTCCAGCTCCAACTCCCATAACCCCAGGGCCCACTTGCAGCTGTCCGATGTGCGTAATGCCATCCTCCCCTCTGGAGCGGGTATTTGGAGACGATGCAGACAGGCTTGGATCGCTGCCAGAAGAGAAAGTGGAACTGGGTGTACTCCCCACATCTGGGAAACTGGGAAGCTCTGGGGGGCACAGCACAGCCTGCATCAGTGCGCATTGAGTGGCAAAAGGGCAGCTGTGAGATCAGCGATGCCATGCAATCACATGACAAAGAACGTCACAACAAGCGTTGGCATGTTGAACCACCAAGGCAGCATGCCATGCACAAGCACAACACCACACTGCAGGTAGTTGCAAATCATATTATGTTGCAGCACAAGACCACAGCCAACAGACTGGTGGGGCATGTTGCTGTGCAACGCACTGCCATACACAAATGTAACGATATGACTGGTGCCTGCTTGCAGTATTAACAAGGATGCAATGCGCCACAAGTTCTGCCGTACACAATGCGTCTCTGAAACAGTGCCGCAGACTTGTGTGCAAAGGCCACATGGGAAACCACTTTGAGCCAGATCCGTGGAAACCACAAGGGCATGATCCCAATATTCTTTCATATCACAAATCCACAATTGCTACCTGAATATAACGCCACATCGCAGGTAGCGTCCTTTGCAATATCAACTGGTGGACACTTGTGCATCCAGTGGCAAATGACAAACCCGATGCTATAATGACCGCAGGCAATGAAGCCCGGCACAGCAAAATGCTCCTAATGTAGGTTCCACTATTGTCCTCTAAGTGTCAATAATGCCTGTATCAGATCGACAATCCACAGAGAAACATGGAAACTGGCACATGTGCTCAGCATGGTGTGACTGCCTTGGTGCCAGGATACTCACCTCGTGAGCGAACTGCAGGGCTGGCTCCTCCAGGGACTGTGACTGGCCCTGCAGCCTTGAGATTGAGCATCTTGAAAATCAGCGCTCCAGCCACCATGGCCACAACAGTCAGGAATCCCACTAGATAATTCAGAAGTCCCCATCCATTGTCTGCTGGTGGCACCTAGCAACAGCACAAGCTTCAACAACTGTCACTGGGCAAGAGAATACAAAAAACAACACAAACCAAGTGCCTCCCATTCACAACTGTCATTGATTGCTTTTGAGGGCAACACAGTGTGGCATACTGGGCTGCTGACTGTGGCTTTGACCTGCAAGCTTTGCTGCGCTTTCAAGATGGACATAAAGCAGGAGATGGACAGGAAAAAGGGAGACAGAGCCTTCCAATAAGAGGGACGAACTCCCAAGGCACCATTTTCCCAGCATTGATTTCATAAACACCCATAGCCTTCTATTTGGCACCAGCACACAATCAGCATCCCAATGACCCCGTCTCTGCAATAATCGTCACAATGGAGTCCAACCCCCCTCTGACAACCTGGAAGTGACAAGCATCCCTCAAGTCTCCTCCACAACAATCAACAGAGGCATTGCACGTGCTCCTTTCCACTCACCACCTCTGGTGTGGACTTGTTGGGGGGTGGCAACCAATCTGGGGGGGCCTCTGGACGCTCCACAGTTTGTACGCCAACAACACAGATCAGTCCCTCCAGCTCGGTGGTGATCCCTGGTTCAACCTGGACCATCTTCCACTGACTTGTGTCCTCCAGATGGACAACGGCAGTTGCCGCAATATTCGGATTACGGATCCCCAGGGCTTCCTTCGACGCCCCTGAGGGTGCTGGCAGCGCATAGAGTCCACCGCCGGCGATGGCCCCAATGAAGACATGCTCATCCTTGCTTGTCCAAACGCCAGGCGATGAAGTCAGGGCGGCTGGTGACAGGCCATAATCAGGAGACCACAGTGGAAGAACATCTCGACCTGTTGGGGGCAGAGCAGAACTGTGAAACATGGAGACAGCCAGATATCCTCCTTGCATTCCTCCTTGATAACACAAAACAGACAACACATTTTGACAGCATGCATCAAAGACCGCAACTGGGGCCCAGCCATCAATCCAGTCGTAAGGACAGCCATACTGTGGTCACTCGCCCACAAGTTTACAGATTGCTGCAGCAGAGCATCGCACCTCCGCCTTGCAGTGTGTAGGCCACAACTGGCGGTGTGGGGAAACTGATATCCCATTTGTCAAGTCCGGAGGTTGGGTCCTTGGCATGGAGGGAGTAGTCTGCTCCCCACTCCAGGTTCACCCCATCTGCAGCACACCACCGGCAAGAAGCACACACAAGTCACCGACTGCCCAGGCAGCAAGCTCAGGAAAGCTGACAGCGACCTTGTTTTGGATCCATTCACATTCAAATAGACAATGGTCCCAACCAGTGGCAATGTATGAGAATATGGAAACACAGATATGTTTCTGTCCAAAGCAAGCAGGCTGGCGCATACAGTGCAAAAACCCACAACCCACTCTCCTTGTTCACTGACTGGGCATGCATTATTTGCCCTTCTCCATTGGTTGCAGTGGTTTCCCACTTGGTCACTTGACCAAGGTACCAACAAAAGTTGGCAACTGCCTTTACATACCAGTGGCTGACTTGGCACTCTCAGGGGCTGGATTGCCAGACAAGAATCCAACAACCGCCTCAGAGTCCTTCACAATTGCCATTTCCAGCTGGTGCATGACAGAGAAGGACACATTCCACTGCACCACGCCGGTGGCATAGTCCACTGACTGCACCACGTAATCCCGGCGCCCCATGGGCAGGATGGGTGCCTTGGAGATCTCTTTATCCGAGCCTACAAAGACAGACACACAAGCAATTATCATCCAGGTGGCAAAACAACAACACCAGGGCCCATATTCTATACGCTGCAAGGATGAACCAAGTTCCCCAAGAATTCTCAAAAGAAGCTTCGTGTGTCCCACATGGCCGATGAGAACTAAAGGAAAACATCAGACAAAACAATGCCCATAATATCCTCGTGGTTGCAAAGGCAATGCTCTGCATGTTCTGCTTTTTGTACTCAAGACAGACTGAGCCATCCCCCTGCCCCCTCCGTCTCCTGTCAGCACATCGTGGGAACAGCAGCAACTAACGCAGAGGTCTAGGTGGGAAATTGCAAGCCATGGCAGGATATCCTTTGCGCCCCCTCCCCATCTCTTTCCCCTTACTCGCAGCACTGGGTTGCTGTGTTGCAGGGTTCACCAAGCAAACCACTGTCATCATCGCAATACTGCATCTTTCACAATGGGCTGGATCTTGTGAACTCACTGATGTCAGCGTCAATGACGTCCTTGCTGGAGAGGGTCCTTAGCAGTTCCCCTGTCTGCATATCTATATAGAACAGCGTGGAGGTCTGGGACCCAAGTATGAGGGAGCCGTTGTCCGTCAGGGATGGCGAATTCTCGACCAACTCTGGCACAGTGATTCCAAAGTTCTGCAAAACACTCCATACAGAGATTCAGGCAGCGAAGTAAGCTGATGCCACACGATTCAGCAAAGCAGCAACAGCAAAAGCCCACAGACATCGACTGTAAGGTCTCAGTCCTCTGTTCGTCCAATGCCGCCGAATGCAACACACGGGCTTCCGCAGAGCGGTAAGTTGCCATCGAGGCGTGTGAGGGAGCAGCATTGGAACCCGCCAGGCCACAGGCCTCAATGCAGGGCGTCGCCACAACCGCTGGGGCTTCCATCTGAGATGTGACCGCCGCATGCGAGCCACACAAGCCCCTTTGAGACCACGTTCCCCGTCTCGAAGACCTCGCGCACCTCCAGTTTCGCGCTGGCCCCACCGCTCTGCACCCTGTACAGGGCCCCATCGGCGCCGGGGAAGACGTGGGAGACCGGCGGCCTTCCGTCACCGTGGCTCTTGCCCGAGGACACGAGCGGCGAGCCCGAGTCGAACGACCACAGGACCCGCCCCGTCTCGAGCTCCAGCGCAGTCACGGTGCCGTCTAGTTTACCGACCAGCAGGACCTCGTCCAGGGACGGCTCGAGGAGGCGGCGCCTGGAGCGCAGCACGCGCCACAAACCCGTCAGACCTCGATTGGCGACGGCGGCGCCGCCGCTGCCGCGAAACGCCGCACGGCCGCCCTCGGCGGTCGACACCCCCGCCGACCCCGCACCGGGAAGGTTCGATACCACGGTGGCGATTCTCGGCGCCCCGCCGCCCCGATCGCCCGACCCGATCGGGCCCCCCTGCGGCAGGCATCGCGAACCGGGTCGCGTCCCGTCCTCCAAACCGGGGGCCGCCATGCCGTGGCCGGCCGGCCTCTCGCGGAGCACTGGTCCGTGGCGGTCGCCCGCCCACCCACCCCATCCGACCACAGGCCAGGGGATCCAAAGTCCGAAAACGGCAACACGCCCCCCGCCCAATTCCGATGCCGCCGCGATCCGCCACGCCCCACCGTCGCCAGGAGCACAACAGAACGCCCCCCCCCGCTGCCCCCCCAATCCAACCTCAGCGGCCCTCCAGCGATCAGCGCCAAATCCCCTTTCTGGAGCCCTCCTGGCCTTCCGCGCAATCCAACCACGCCGAAACACAGCTTCCTCGCCGCCGGGACCGTCCCCGCCCGTCGCCCGCCCCCCAATGGACGAAATGCCCGTCCCAGCCACCGGCATCCGCGCCTGGAAGTTGCCGACGCCAGGCCTCACCGCGTCGCCGGGGCTGCGATCCACGGCCCCGCGGCCGACCGCCGCACCACTTTTACCGGACACGGGAACCCGAGCCGGGGATCACGCACGGCCACCGCCAAGCTCCCAAGGCATTTGTCGCTGAGCCGGACACCGCCCTGACTCATCACTGTCGCCCACTCCCCCCCCCACCCCCCCTTCGGCGACAAACAGGGCCCCGGCGATTCCCCCCCAGGAAGCTGCCGCCGCGCCAAACCGACCCCCACCCCACCCCACCCCCACCGCCAAGCGCTCACACTCTCGCCCGAGCCCTTCGCCGCCTCCCCTACCCCCCTGCGCGAGGTGCCCGGCCTCGCACGGAGCGCCACCACCTACCCGTGCCGCGGCTTGAGGCCCCCCTCTCCGTGGGGCGCCAGGCCCAGGTTCCCCTCCCGCTCGCCCTCCCCGCGTACTGCCGCCAGGCAGTGCAACAGGAGGCAGGCGCGAAACATGGGGCCTGCGCCCCTCCTGTTGGAGCCCGCCATGGCCGGCCACGCCCGCGCCTCCCCTGCCCGCCCTCCCGCGCGGTCCCTGCAGTGTCTCTGTGTGGCCGCCCGGGGTTTTCGGTCGCGCCGCCGCCAGCCCGCAGACTGTGGGGTCGGCAATTTGGGGGAACCAGCGCGTAACGAACCGGCCCGCGACGCCTGCGCCGATTGAAAGGGGGTGGACGGTGGGCGGGGCCAATGAGTGATGGGAGGGAGAAGGGGTGGATACTATTTTTTCCTTTGACAGCGAAGTTGTTCTTGTTTCCCTTTCTTTTTGATCTTTTGTTCTCTTTTTTTCCTGCGACGGTGAAATTGTTCTTCTTTTGTGTTCTATTGTTCTCTTTTTTTCTGCGACAGTGAAAGTGTTCTTTATTTTCCTCCTGTTCTTTTGTTCTCTTTTGATAGGGATTGTGAGGACGCTGTACGTGTACAAGGAGATATGACATATATGGCGTACACGGTGAATGTGAAAGGTGGAGAAGGTGACACTGCATGACAGGATGTGAGCTGGCGTCCAACGCAATACTGCGTATTTGACCTGGAGTGTATTGTGTAAGCCATCACTCTACGGTCTGCTTCCTGTGCCTGGGTACGACCGCGGGTGAAAGTGCGCCGGGCGCTGATCGGCGCTACTCGTCGCAATAGGGATAATGGACGACAATGGCCTCGCGTACGGCTATGGGTGCGCGACGGATGCAAACGCTCGTAGGGGGGGGTGAGGGGACATGACGAGAAACCGCAGGGGGCCCTCCGCGGCAGCGCTCGCCTGGACCTGGTCGAGAGCAGACCAAGGGCCGGGGGCCAAAAAATGGCGTCGTCTGATTGCATCCAGACGTTGTCCAATGCATTACGTGTGACGTCACATAATATGCAAGATTTCTTTGTGACAACAACGTCCCATAATTGCGTTATGGAAGGCATTACTACCGCGCAACAGGAGGGTTTTGTAACGATCTGTTGGGTGCTTGGAAAGCAATTTTGACAATCGCAATCGTGTTCGCTGTGCCATGTACAAATATGCAAGAAAATAGACACACTGCAGCCACCCGACATGGCGCCTATCGCAGGCCGTTGTGCTGCAACGCCCTGACTCGCATACCACGCACGCAAAATGGGTTCCGGGAAGACAATGGGGCCTTGCGCAACGAGGCCACACATACAAGTACATACACATTGGCCGTGTGGAGGTAGCCTAGCGGGGTTGTGACATCGGCGCAGTGGTGGCGCAGCGACTGGTATGGTGCCTGTGTGGCGAAGTGCGCCGCTCAGGGCGGCAACGTTCAAGGTAATCGCCAGCGATACCGACCCACAATGTCGGCGCAACCAGCGAGCCAAATCGGAAATATCACCACCTCCGCTCAAAGCTGCCCTGGCTGCAATGCCCCAGGGGAAGCATGGTTCTGATCTTGCTCGTGTGGCAGGGATCGGCTTGGGGAAGGCTGTTGCATTCTTTGCTGCTACCAAGTTGTCGACCAGCGCCTTCAGAGCGCGTTGAGCTGAGCGCGTCGGCGGCAATCCCCAAGCAACCAATCGGCAGTCCGTTTCTCAGCAACAAATAAAGAGGTCGCAAGCTCTGGGAGGGCAGAAGAGGAAGAAAGCGACAAAGATGTGGGTATGCCAGATGGTGGACCTGGGACTGGCAGTGAACAACCGGCTGGAGTAGAAGCACATGGACAAAATTCATGCATCTCTGTTGATGTGGCTGCTATTGCTCAGGTTTCTGAAATGACCATGAGTGCCGGAAGCCTTGAGTACGGGAAGGGCTGGTGAAAAGCAGAGGGACTTGCTTCTCAGAGCAAAACAAAATCTGTGGGCCACAGGGCCGCCTCGGCCAGCCATTTTCGTGGCAAAATTGCAAGAAAAGGGAGCGAGATCCGTTCCGCACCGTTTGCCGCAGTTTCCTCAGCAGCGCATTTTAGGCTGTCGGAGTGAGCGTTTGTAGGCACTAGCTGTTTGGAGTCCGCCCCTGAGGAATGGACGATTCAATGGCCAACCCGTTGGCCATTCAGTCGCCCGATCCTCTTCGGCAAAGTAAGTCGCCGAACTCCCGAGCGATTTGGCTCGGGCACCAGGATTTAAGTATTCATTAAGCACTATATTAGATGGTGTGTTTAATGCAGAAGTCTCACAGGTCGCTTGAGTGATGAGGTGGCTTGTAACTCAATTCTAACATCGATGTCTGCCATGAGGGCCACAGGGAGCCGAATGGGTGGTTTTGCACAAGAAGATGCTCCTTATGCTGGGTGCCACCATCAGCGAGAAGATTTGTAGTGGAATATGGCCTCCGCTGAGCAAATATGTAAGCCCTAGCCCTGTTTGGAAGCTACCTTGCGTGGGCACATGGTGACAAAGTCGGACTAGCTATGGAGTGGGGATACAGCGCTTCAGCGGCGCCATAGTCACTCTTTTACTGCCCATGATGACTTGCGTGGATTTTGCAGCTTGCAAGATTTCCTTCTGGAGGCCAGGCTCCGGGCGTGTGCGCTGCGCTTAAAGGGTGATCGATTCATGTGCTCATGAGCGCATGACTCGCTTGACTAACCAGGAATGGAATGTTGACATGGTGGGTTGGTGTTGAAAATTGGATTCTTCTCTTTGCCACATAGATTTGCTGTTGGTGCCTGGTCCCTGCCTCAATCAACCGACCTCCATGCAGTTCCATGTGCACTTCGAGTGAATTGGGCAACAAGTTGCATCATGCATTTGTCGGCGTTGGCGTCCGCCGTGGCTGTCTGACAGGACATCGTGCGATGTCCTTCATCGCAACTGTGACGGCCCGTTGTTAGATTGTTAGAAAAAAGGGTACAAGTACTACAATGTGCCGAGCCTTGTACCACTTTTGCTAAATAGGACTTCGGGCAGTTTGTCGGAGGACCATGAATTTTAGCCAGTGCTGGCAGCGGGTCCTTTGAAGACGATGATCTTCAGACTGTTCGGCGCGATGGCTGCCCAAAGGGGGCTTCCCGCCTGGGGGGGTCAATGGGAGACGTAGCGTCGGTTTTGCTTTCAATCGCACAGGTGAACAGGCAGAATATTCGGGTGGGGCTGCAGTGCCCTTTAATGGCTGCGATGGTACTCCCTTCATGTCCCAGCAAGCGCCTACAAATTTGGCGGCAAATTTGGGGACTGAAGACCATTTCAGCACTCCATGAAGCTTGCCAAGCAGCGTTACCGCGGTTCTTGCGTTCACACGCCGCACGGCGTTGCCCGCTTTGGTTATGGACTGGTCTCCACAACACGGCACCATTGGAGCCCCTAAGTACATCCTTATCGCCCAAACGTCCTTGCACACCTACAGTCAACCACTAGTACTGGAATGCCGCAAGGACAAAACTGGCCTACCCATCATATGTAAAAGCCCCAACACAATAATATAATTGTTACAAAGGAGCTACAAAGAATGCTAGACAATGAAAATAGCAGCCCTCACGACCACGCTGGCATCAGCAGTGATCCTGACAAATGACATCCATCCTGAGCTACCCAAGTGCATCAAACAGAGCACACACAACACCATGAGCCAGGTGGCTAAAGGTACCACCTCCATAACGCCCAGGCACCACAGCCAAACCACAATCACGCTCTCTCAGCTGTGCACATTCAGTGCAGGATCGCAGCCGTACTCAGCTCTCAAGGTCATCCACGCTCTCTGAGCCCACTATCAATTTTGCCCCCTGGGGGTCTGTGTTGGGCAACTCTGGTCCCTGGTGCTGCAGGCGCTCCTTGATAAACGAGTGTGCCTTCGCCATGGCTTGCCTTCTGCTCAGCAGCGCACGTCTGAGACCCACATTCTCCTCTTCGAGACCCCTGGTGTGATCCAATAGTTTGGCAATCCGTTGGTCGTCGGTCACCGCTGCCTCCAAGGAGGCAATCAGGTCCTCGTACTGCTCGGTCATTTCCAACAGCAACTCATCCAATGACTCATCGAACTGGGCTTGTCTTCCAGCTGCTGTGGGCATGCCAGTGCATGTTGCTGCAGATCTGTCGCCATTTGGCGAACTACCTACGACAGTCCCGCCAGTACTGGCTTCCTGCTGTTCGCCCAGCTCTGTTTCCAGGGCAATAGCCTGTTCTTGAAGAAGATCGGCCCGATCCAAAGCATTGCTAAGTATGTCTGCTTGCTTCACCAACGAGCGCTCAAGCTCCAGCACCTCCTGCTGTAGCTCCTCTGATCCTGTTGACTCTGTCTCAGGGTTTATGTTCACCTCCTCAAGTTCATCAGCAATTTTCTCCGCCATCGTTAGGAGTTGAGCAGCTGCATCCACCTCTGCTTCAGCTTCCTCCTTCAACTGCATTACGGATGCCACATCTTCCTCCTCCTTATCCTGCCTGGCCATCACCCTCTCCTGAAGCTCTGCAACTGTTTGTTCTGCCTCAAGAAGATGCTGTGCCTGCTGCATCAACTCCTCCCCCAGGCCAGTCAATCGAGACTCCAGCACCTGGTTCCCACCTGCTGCAGACTCCAAAGACCGTTGCTTTTTTTCCAACTCCTGTTGCAGGGCCACAACAGTCGCAACTGCCTTGCCCTCTGTGGTATTGAGCTGTTCCAAATCGAGACGGGCTTGTTGCAGTTGCACCCGCAATTCTGTCAACTTCGCCTTCATGTCCTGTACCCTTGAATCCGCCTCGGAGGCGATCCGGTCTTTTGCTGCAATCGTGTCCTGAGCAGCGCGCAGCTCATCAGACACCTCTGACACCTGGGCACCCCAGCTTTCCCTCGCCTTCAAAAGGAGGTCCCTTTCCACCGACAATTCGTCCAACACACCCAGTTGTCTGTCATTGAAGGTCTGCAGTTCCGATAGGCTGCGTTCCAGATCGGATGCCCTGCCCGAGCTGATGTCCTGAGCCTCCTTCATCTGTGTGGTGACACATGCCAGCTCATCTTCTCGTTGCTTGAGTGCTGCCGTCTGCGCATGCAAATCTTGTTTCTTTTTGATAAGGCTTGACTGTAAGGAAATGATCCTTGCAGCAAGGTTGCTGATTTCAGATTTTTGTTGTATCTCTTTCAATAGCAGCGCCTCGATTTCAGCCTGGGCGTTTCCTAAGTTGGCTGTCGTGTCATTCTCTGCCAGTTTTGTGGTCTTCAGCTCGTCTATCAGACCATGGACCTCCTCAGACTTGGCTGCGAATTGCCCACGGAGTTGCTTCAGCTCATTTTCCAGCCGTCTTATCAGTGCATTGGATTTCGTTTGTTCTGATCGTCCCTTGCGCTTGTCCTTGTTCAGGCCACGAATGACCTCTGCACTCTTCGCCACATTTGCTTGCATCCCTGCCACCTCCTGCCTCAGCCTGTTCTCTCGCTGATTGCGCTGTCTCAGGGCCGCTTGGATCTCCACCAGCATCGCTCGAAGCTCCTTCGACTCCCTCTTCTTCTCTTCCAACTGTGCCTGGAGCGCCTTCACCGTGGCCCCCAGATCCTCCACCTCGCCCACCACCACATGGTACTGCCTCTTCACGTCCGCCACCGACCCCTTACCCCCAGCAGCGGCGCTCCTCTCCGACGCAGCTGCCTGGGCGCCCAGCGCCCTCCTCCTCGCCTCGACCCGCACGCACTCCTCGCTCACCCGCTCGCACTCCAACCTCAGCCCCTCCAACTCCCCCTCCAGCCCCCTGATCTCCTCCTCCCTCTGCCCCAGGTGCCGGTTCGTGATCTGGGCGTACTCCTCCGCGGAGAACGCCAGCGCCCGGGCGTCCTCCAGCTGCTCGCCCAGGCCCATCGCCGCCTCCTCCGCCTCCCTTCTCGCCTCCCCCACACGGGCAGCCACCTCCCCACACCTCCCCTCCAGCTCAGCCGCCCTCCGCCTCTCCACCCCCGCCTCCAATGCCCTCTCCCCGGCCCTACCCTGGACGTCGATCTGCCCCACCTCCGCCTCCCTGAGGCGTTCCCTCAGCCCCGTCAGCATCGCCTCCTGCCTCCCCACCGCCTCCATCAGCTGGGACACTTCCACGCCCCCCTCCTCGCTCCTCAGCCCCGATGATCGCTCCAATTCGTGCTGCGCCAGTGCGAGGGCCTCCTCCAGCTCCCCGCACTGCGCCAGGCATGCCGCCGTGTCCGCCTCCTTGGCCGCCCTGACCTCCGCCACCTCCTGCCTCAAAAGCTGCACCTCCCTTTTGAGCGCATCCGCCCTTTCGCTGGATCCCGCCACGCCCACGTCGCCATCGACGCGGGGGCGCGCCCTGGCCACCACCCGGCCGCAGGATCGCGCGGTCAGGGCCGAGTGCCGAATGCCACTGGGCGTGCATTGCCCATTGCAGCAATTGGCATGTGGATCCGTTAGGAATCTGTGGCGCCGAGGGGTGTCCGGTCCGGATTGGGCGTCGGACCGCGACCAGCGTGGCCCCTGAAGTGCCGCGAGCGCGGCGCGGGGCACCGCGCGTTTCATGGCTGCGCCGATGGCGCCGTCGCCGTAGACTCGTGCGGGGTCCAGGAATGGGACTTGGGGACATGGGGGAGGATGTGCCCCCGCCACTACCCCCACTTTGGCCTATTAGGTGCACTCAATAGGTGCACTTCACATAGGTCTGCAGAGAGAATACATTGGTCCCTCTCTTCCGTGACGATCCGCCCTTCTTCTTCCGCCGACAAGGCCAACGCCGGTCAGTGGGTCAGTGGCTCAGGGTTTCGGGTGTCCGAAACAAGGAGGGAACTTCACCGAAAAAAGAACGGAGAGACTAATTTCAGCGCAAATCTGACGCTGCGGCCTCCATATTCTTCGTCCTCTGCGTGCAGCGGTCGAGTCGTTTTCGTCACAGGTTAGGAAGCGTGCAGCGCTCGGGCGCGCTGTTGTGCGACCAGCCCAGCCGCGCCCTACACCCGCACGACTGGCTGCATAAATTTCTTATCCCTTCTTTTCCTGTGCCGTTTAGATTTGTGGACTTCGACTCACAGACATGATGGGTTTTAGCCATGTCAAACTTCCGCTCCCCAGTTCGAATTCACAAATTGATTCATTTTGCCGTCACCAGCCAGAGGAAAAACTGGGGTCACAGCCGCATCAACACATGTAGCTTGGGAAGGGGCGCAGTCCGCAACACCGCAAAACGACCACCGTTTCACTGGGAGGATCACTTATGCATTATGGTGTACGACTTGTATGCATTTTACAAATATTTTTTATATGCAAGTCATTCTGATTTTAAAAAAAGAAAAGAAACATGCGTTTTAAAATTCACAGAATTATTTCTCTTGTGATGGGACTTCTGCGAGCATTAATTTGATTGTTGTGGGAGATACCATCTGACTCAGAGACAAATGCTATGGTTAGGGTCGCGCTCACACCTGAAATATTTCTGCATTGCTATTGAGTGTATGGGCGCCTTTAGTATATGTGTTATAAAGTGGTTCGTATTGTGGCGATGAGTGGGCATCTCTGAAGTGCGGTATGGCTGGTTGGTGATGGATGATGGTCCTTGTCACATGAAAAGGAAAGTTCTGTGGGTGCCAGGGGATTCGAATTGTTCGGTCGCGGGGGCCGTTGCCACCACCGGCAAGGCTCTTCGCTATGGGAAGGGTGAACAAATATGTAAGCCCTTGGCGTTGTGTGTGTGGTGTGGCCTTGCGTCTGGCCGTGTGCCAACGCCGTTGAAGCACCGGCGATCTTGGATTCGCGCTTCCCGTGTGCACTCCAAAAGGAGCCGTTTGAATCACATCAATGGCATTTCCTTCAAGAGCGCCACTTCCACAACTTGTTCAACAATGGTTAGTCATCAGACCTGAGGATGTCTCTATGCAATTCATTTAAAAGGCGCTGTGGGAAGCGATAGGGTTCCGTGAGAAATCGCTTCAGACCTGGGCCATGAGACATGTCGAAGTTATACCATAGTTCACAGTGCGCGATTGTGATCGGTCGTCGCTATTCTGTGGAGTACCATTCCTAAGGGCCGTCTGTACTGCAGACTCTGTAGCGATACTATTTCCACTGCGCTTGGCACGCTCAGCAGGCGCGCCGTCATGGCACTCGTGAGCCAACACATTGATATTGACTACGTATATTCACATGTATTCAGGAAAAACCCGACACGGTGGGCACAGTGTGTGAGAACTATGTCGACATTTTTGAAGACGACGATGGAGTTTCCCAATGTCGTAGGAGCAGCTGCAACAAACAGCAGTTCAATCCGACAGGAACCCGATGAACGAATTCCCCCAAGGCGCCGGCATGGTGCTCCTTCCCATATCGTTGCCACTTGCTGCAAGAACGGACGATCAAGAAGACTGTGAAGAAAATGAAAACGTGGCAGATGTACCCAGAAAGCAAGTTCGAAGATAGATCGAACCCTTCACAGTTGTCGCTGTGCCTGCAGCACGCCCACCCAGCAAATCATGTGGTTTCTACAACTCAAATGCTCTCAGCGCTCATGTTCTCTGGCACAGTCAACACAATTTGTCAGTGCCCCTGCCCAGGCCCAAGGGTGGCATTGGCGTGCCGAATGGGGCACACTGCTCTGTTCTTGTCACCCAGCGACACCACAGTCAGGCCGCCACATTTCCCCACCCTCTTCCACGCAGCCATGTTGCAGAAGGCGGCCAAGGTTCTTTCCCCATTAGCGACCATATCATGATGCTGCCGAGGACAACCGTCTTTCAACACCTTGGTGCTGCCGCGATCTGGGGCGCCACTCAACTTTGTGCATCAGCGCCTTGCTACGGTGCCATGTCCTTGTACAGCTGGTCTATGTCCTTGTACTTCCCCATGGCCTGCTCGGCAGATACCCTTCGCGCGGTGTCTGTGGCCACGCCCACCAGGATGAGGACCGAGGTCCCAGCAAATCCTCGGAAGGCCGTCAGGTGCGTGAGGGCCTCGACGGCGGCTGGCGCAGCGGCCAGGGCCCCAAGGAACGCGGAGCCCAACACGGACATCCGGTTAAGGGTCTTTGTTATGTACTCTGTTGTGGCGTTGCCGGGCCTCACGTCCGGAATCGACGCCCCCTGAAAGCGGCAGAGCTTCAGCGACACAGTATCTAACGAGAGCGTTCGGCAGAGCAACGCCAGCAATGGATAAAAAAACGCACAAGTGAAGGTGAAGCAAAGTACTAAGATAAGATATCAGCGTGGAAAACCATGGATGCAAGGTGAATGAGTAGGACGCACGTTTGGAATGAGCACTAACTGGACGCACAAGTTGCATTGACGCAATGCAAGAACGGATGGGCTCCCTGGCCTTCTGAGCAAACAAAAACTCCAGACTGAAAATGCAGAACATGTCACTGTCATAGAATTGCTCTGAGCAGAATGCGCACAGAGTCGACTCCATTCCATCACAGTAGGGGCACCTCAGCAGTGCAGGGATAGGCACGGCAATAGAAGACTCGAGTCTCCAGTCGGTCCCACCTGCTTCTTGAGCTGTTCGCTCACATCCTTGGGATCCAGTTGTATGAAAGTGTAGTACCAATTAAAGAAGGCAATCAATGCAACGCTGACCTGCAAGCCAAGCAGCAAAACGCATCACGACCTGGACAGCGCCCAATGGTCAACGATAGCATGTTGCCAAACAGGTCGGGATACGCCTCTGCTGTACAGGAAGATAAGAAATCGCCAGCAACCTACTGGCACGCCATAAATTAACAGCAAACAACAGAAGCTACACAACATAGACACCAACAACCTTTTCGAACTGTGTGGCGAAAGCACCTGAGCTTTTTAATGTCTTGATGTTGTCAAGTCAAGTTTCAACAATGTTGGTAAGGCTGATCACATTGATTGATAGACACTTTTGTACTGTGTGAACCAGTTCTACTCATGTCTTGCGTGGATCCGCACATAGCCCAGTCTCATGCTGCATATTTGAAGTGCTAGTGTATTGAACAGAACCATCTTGTTCCCAGCCCCTCAAATTTTGCAGCCCAGTGGATGCTCCTTTGGGAATCAGTAACTCGCAATCACAGGCACGTTGGCTGTGGGCCGATGCAACGACTTGAGGACCCAAAACCAGAAACGGACAATATAGGAAGCATGCCACAGTGCACACCCATCAGCTGCACATGCCCACCAAATGCTCATGTGACAGAGAAGATCTGCATTATCATGTCAGCCATTTCGAGTAACAATGCTCCAGGACAAAATAGCAACTATGTTTTTTCAATACCATAAGCCGATAGGTCATTTCGAATGACATCTTGACCACGCTTTGCAAAATGTCAAGAAGATTCATGCCAGATGCTCGCAATGCAGCTTCAATTCCAGGGCAAATTGAAACGGTGCAAGCAACGTCACGATGTCTCCAGTTTGGATGGCAGCAAACAGGCCTCGAACGCTGCTACTTGTCTGCACTCGCATTGTGGGCAAGACCACGAGTATGGGGACAAAATCTCCATGGGTGACTGATTGTGGTCAAAATCGTCAAGTTCAACCAACACAAAACCACTCAACAAGGTTACAGCAGTCGACATTCCACCATAGTGTTGACAAATCCAGGTTTCTTTGCAGTTTGGCAGTTGTTGGGCGTTTGAATGGGCGCTCAAACAGTTCAGTCCAACACATATGCACTTCAAGCTTATTATTGCCAAAAGCACTGAACAAGCTGACCCACCGGAAGATACAGCTGACCCCCTGGGTACAATTGCTGAGCAGCGCCCTGCACGATTGGGTTGTCTGTGTTCCTTGCCAGGGTCGATGGAAGGGCAAGAATCGATGAGGCAAAGATGACAGGCATCACCCCAGTTGCGTTCACCTGCAGTTTGGCAATATGAGCAAAGCTCAGGTCGCCTCTGGTTTGAAACGAAACGCACTACCATTGCTCTCTGCCTGTGCCCCCACTGCATTTTGGTTTCACAATAAATTGGAAGATAATAGACCCAGGCCTGGATGGAAATGAAGATAAGAACAACCCTGACCAAAGAATCGCTTGCGACAGTGGACCCGAGCTCTCTCAGATGTATGGGCACTTGGGCGAAGCGGCAGGCACTGTTGAAGTTAAATCATCTGAAAGACAGTAGTTGCCTGGGGGATCAAGCGGGCAGTGCAACTTGACCATTCCGAGTTTTCTGCAAATCGCGAATTGTGTGTTTCCTGGTGTTAACAGGGCGAAGGATACAGCAACGAAATCCCTGATTGCCACACAGCTTCCAGCACTGTGGAGAATCTGCTGTCAGGGGCATCTAAAGGACGAGGGAAAATGGAGTGCCAATAAGCATTGCACATGGCAATCTGCGCTGGACAATGCTGCCAAGAGCTGTCCCATGAATTGCCTGACATGGCCTTGCAGCCACAGCACAACGTTTTGCCTGTTCAACACAGCCAGAGCCACAGCGACAGGTTGCACGTACTCTCCAAGTAAGCAGTTATGAGCCATAGGGGTTTGGCTTTGGTTTCATTACTGCAGGCGGGCCCAAGATGAGCATGAACACTACATGCATCTGCAATTGGAGTACGTGACAGGGACGGACACCTGAAACTTCTCTGATTGGCAATACCGATACGCATTCACCTAAAACTTCTGGCACCATGCTAGCCTATCAATGCTGGGACATTACAGGCGGCGGCTTACACGCCAGGAACGTCAACAAGATCCTTGAAAATCGCCTGCATGGAACAGCAACATCATGCCACTTCTTGCTCACCTTCCATTCAATCTGATCAACCACAATAGCACTGGCACACGCATATTCACATATTTGCAGCCCTGGTGGCCGAGCACACCTTGAAAGGCAGGTATGATGAGCCTTGCAGGGCACCACGGTACCTGGACGCGTAGTTCATTGGGATTCTACGCTCTGCCTCTTGTACATAGACGATCCCCAGAGTTGTCAGGAAGAAGGCAGCACCAAAGACACCCTGTTTTTTAAGACACTTGTCAGGGATGGCAGCAATGATCTGGTGCGATGTTGTATTCGGAACTTGCCAAGCATCTGTGTTACAGGGCTCTTCCAAGAGGACCCAACAGGCAGTGAACCACTCAGGTTTGAAAACATATCTGTGTGCCTGCTCCCTGAATCCAGTGGCAGAAAGAACCACAAAGCACTACTGGCAATGATACAGAGTGGTATTGGCAACGACACATGCACCATCAATCATTCACTTGCAAAACAACATCACATTTGGGAATGAAACTGTCAGGATAGACCACAGCACGCCAATATCACATGTGTACTGACTGGCTGTCGAGTTGGTTTGCTGCTACTTTGCACATCAGGATCTCCTTGTGCATATGATCAAGAGGGCTCCACCAGCCTAAACAGCTGGCTCCTTAACAGCCTGGAAAGCAGTGGTCCAAAGCCCAGTACAACAAGTCCAATCAATAATGGATGGATACCCAACATCGACTACATCACCTTTGGCTCTGATCACATTTGCCAGAAAGATGGGACATCGTCCTGGCACCTAAGAGCATCTTGTCAGTCGGTGCTATTGCAGTGGCGGAGCTATCCAGCAACAGTTCTCACTGGCTGCCGTGCCACTTACTAAGGTGCAATTTGCCAAATAACACCGGTGCTATTGCTCTCCTGCGCGCATCTGCTATGGTGGGTGCTATTCCTACGCCAAATAGCATCGCAGCAGCACCACAATGTTCTGCACGAATAGCACCAGGTGCCATTCTTGGGTGCTGCCTGGCCTCGAGCGGTGCTAACCTGGCCCAGAATGGCACCGCTCGGCACAGAATAGCATCGGCGGTGCTATTGGGGTGCTATTGCTCCCCAACCATTGATGATTGTTTTCTGAGGTGCGGTGCTATTGAATAGCACCACCGGGACAATAGCACCCACCGACAAACATGCTCTAAACAGCAATGCAGGGCAGCTTATGCATCACTGCCAGCAACATCTGAAGTCCACACAGCATCCTGAAGTTGTTCTCCATTCAAAACGCATATGAAACGACTGTCAATCACTTTGTGAGCACACGGGGCCAGCAGCAGGGGTTTTAATACATGGAGGAAACTGCCAGCACACTGTTAGCAATTTGACTATTTACCTGCTATTGCCAAGCTAGATGAACTGGACATACCCGACCAGCCCAGCAGATGTACAACAGTGCCTTTGTGGGAGCTGCGTTGTGCAGAAGGAACAAACAACTTGAGGAACTATTGAACTGGTTAAATTAAAGCTCACCAGGTTAGCCACGTCACTCTTAGTAGCCTGCTGAAGTGTGGCCCCAAGGGACGAGGGGAGGGCAGAAGCAATGTTGGCAAAGATGAGGAGGGACGTGCCATTCCCAAGTTGCAGTTCCCCAATGACCTCAGAAATCTGAAGGTGGAACGACAGGATCAGAGAGACATAAAAGGGCAGATATCTGTCTGGCCAAGAGTGAGGGAGCAGACATGAACTGACCAGCCAAATGGGCAGGCAAGTCAGCCATTGAAGCTCTTTGCTCTTGTCTGTGGCTTTATGAGCCAAGCACAGCTCAACAGTGCTGGCAGCCTTGAGAGATTGGTTGGCATTAAGAATGTTTCGAATCCTCGATTGGAACCAATTCTAAATTTCCAATCAGGGGCAAGAGCGCCAACACTCTGCCTGAAAGTGCTGGTGGGCACAGTATTCCAGTAGTCGATTGGCAAGGCAGGGTCACACAAAGCTTGCGTCCAATGTGCATAGATAGGGAGGCTGGCAGAGTCCAAGTTGCGTAACAAATGCCAACACATATTTTCGAAGCATAGCCAAGGCCATCTACTGAAGCACTTAGTTCACAGCCTGTTCACACCAGCATACTTTGAAGACACAAGCCAAGGGGCAATGGTCAACTTGAGGAGTCAAATACCTGAATGCAAAGATGCAGCACATTTGAGCGGGCGACATTTGATCGCATGTTCCAATGCGCCACGGCTGCCGCCCACGTTGATAGCCTGATGATTTTACCAGTGCGTGGTTGTGAAACATTAAAAAAAAATGTTCTCCGCGAACTGGGATACACAAGGAGTTGAAACTTGCAGAGAATTGAATGGAGAATAGGACGGCACTCCAGCCAAGGAGGCAGTCAAGTGCAACTCACATATATGAGGACCGCAGCCCCGGCTGTGAGCTCCAGCGTTCCCACAGCCAACCAGCCAAGACTCCAGTCAGAGACGAAGGGCCGGATGTACGTCAGCTGCCCAACTGCCTGAACGACTGCAAAGGCGAGTGCCACTATCTTCTGTATGTACTGGAACCTTGCCCTGCCCTGCCAGAACACCATGGCCACCCCAAGCAATGAGCAACTAAGGGAATCCTTTGTTGAAAACCTCCAAGTGCTTGCCGCCGCAACTGGCTTGGTTGACAACTTCCCATGCAAGGGCTTGTTGTTGAGCTCAAGCTCACTAATTCAACACACAGCTCTGTACCACGGGCTGCCAGCTCTTCAGACCATTTTGTAGTTTGTATTGGAATCGAGGTTACAGAGACTACCCCACAAGGAATACACTTCAGCAGAGAGAATATCGCGCAAGAGGGATGTCAAGCATTCACACAGGATATTGAATAGGGAGATTGGGGGGGATATTGTGGGGGAGTTTCCTGGGGTTCGGTGGCAGCTGTGGCCGCCATTAGAGGCGTGCTTTCGGATATAGAATTGGGCCTGGACGTGCCCCTCGCACACTGGATGGTACGCTACATTGATCGATGCCGTGACGTCATGTCGATGCATCCATGTAAGGAAGAAACAAACAAACAAACAAACAAACAAACAAACAGGATATTGAATAGGGAGAGCTCCTACCAGTCTTCTGCCTCTGTAAAACCACTGATAAGACAGAATTATGTCTCTTATTTTGTCTCTAATGCTGCATCGGATGTAGGCTCTACACAAAGACTGCCTTCCACACAGCGCCACTGCCCTGTTGCTATGTCACACTTCAGACTAGGAGAGTTTTTGATCGGTGTTGTTGTTTGCACACCCCAGGACAAATTCATATGAGCTGATTTCTATTGGCAGTCAGGTGTGCTCCAATGCTTGGCCCATATTCTGTCTTTGTCCAAAATACAACATGTGAGTGTACAAGACCAGCAGCTTGTCATGGAGGTGCAAATCACAGGTGGCGTTGGGATCCAATCTGAAAAGCTGCTTCGTACGAGAGATTGCCTCTAGGTTACTTGGGGGTGCACTTCTTTTCATTTCACAGTCATCGAACAGCCCAGCATGCACTTGGCACACCCCTTTCCTCACCTTAACACACAAGCAGGACAGGGTTGAATTACATCAGTTCTCACAACTTACAATTTCAGCCAAGTGACCAATTAACTTCCATTTAGGCGATGAGTGTTGACGCTGTCCATTACCTGAGGGCCCTCTTCACGCTGTAGCTTCTTGAGGCCAGGAAAGACAGCAGAGAGGATTTGGAGGAGGATGGATGCATTAATGTATGGAATGATACCTGAGTTCCACAGGTTCGGGTCAATACATCAATGCATTAACTGCGTACTGGAAGTGATACAGCGCTGCCCTTGCAACTTGACGGCGGTGAGAGGCATTGTTCCATCCATAACGTTTCATGCACAACATATGTCGTTCATCTGCCTCCATCCATGAACTCCTGACTTCATACAACTGTTTCCCACAAACATATAAATGGGAAGATCATTATGACATGAAACTTGAGAATCGAAAAGTGGAAGACAGCCGTTGGTGAATTGTCGTTCGTCGAACGCCGGCACACTCACCCAGTGAGAACAGGCCGACCTTCGAGATGGACCCCCCCGACAGTGCGTCCACGTACCCCAGCAGGCCCGACGACTTCATCGTCTCCGAGAACGCGTCCACGTCCACGCCCGGCAGGCGGATGTACACCCCCAGCCGCGTGAACGCGATGAGCGCCAGGAGCACGCCCAGCTTCTTCGGCAGCCCGCTCTTCATGAACTCCTCCCAGCTGAAACCCGTGTCCACCTCCGGGCCGTAGACCGACCCCGACGACTGGGCCACAGATGAAATCCTCCTGGGCGGCTGCCGCCCGCCCTGCGGCTCCCTCCTGGGAATTTTTTCCCCCCTTTGCGCGTCATCACCCACCGGGGCCACAGGGACCGTGGACGTTGTCTCCCCGCTCTCCCCCACCGATGATTCAGCCGCCAGAGGGCCCCCGTTCGTCACCTGGGCTCCTTCGATGCCCACCAGTTCGTCTCCGGACGAACTGGCCTCCCCGGTTCGTCCAGAATCGGCACCCTCGTCGATGCCGTCAATCGCCGCCGACGAATCGACGACGGTGTCCGATGGCGGCCCAGCGGAGGCCGAATCGGCCTCGCCACCGTCGCGCGAGGACTCGGCGTGCCGGTGTGGCCGCGCGACGAGCGCCACACCCGATCGGAGGCGCCGGCCGGAGGTCACCGGGCGGCAATGGGATGGGGATGGGCGGGTGGGGATCCTAGGGATGAGGGGGGCACTGGGCCGCGGGTGGACCAGTCCCGCGGCCATCTTGGGGGGAAGCCACCGAGAGGGGGGGAAGGGGGGGGGGGGGGGCGGCGAGAGGGAGGGCTGCCCCGGGTGTGACGGCAGGGCTGGGCGGAAGACGGGCCCGACGCTAGTGGCCCAGGCGAGGATGAAGACGGGTGGGCTTGGGAATGAGGGCTTTTGGGCGGTGGAATGAGATTGCTGCGATTGTTGCGATTGTT